TAGTTCATGGGCAAAATCAATACTGGAAAACCCGCAGCGTGAAGCATTGTTTTAAGGCAGATCCACAGCCAATATTATGAGTCCCAGCTATACAGCAATTACACTTAGACTCTGATCCAAGGAGATGGCTTGTATATACAACAGGGTTGCTAAAGCAGCAGATTTATAAACACAAACCTCCTTCAGAATGATACATCTGACTTCCCACCAAAAAAAAACCTTTACAGGAATTACATTTCTCTTTCAAATACAAATCAGACCCAGTAACTCTGGTATGACAGTGGTTTGGCAGCAGAGAAAGACTGCCTAACCCCCACCCGCTTCCTACACATTCCTTTAGCAACTTCAGGAGCTAAAAACTGGTAATTTGCAGGAATGTTGGTGAAAAGGACTCGTGAGTAATCAAGTTGATCACAAAGATAGATGTGTTTCACTATAAATGCCCTGCTCCATTTTAGTCTTAAATATTCAGTGGTTAGAAAAATTGTGTGTTTGTAAAATATACATAAGGTAAGAGCCAGAACTCTTAAAACAATGGAAAATGTGATTTTAGAAATTATCTGAGTAGCTCCTGTTACAAGTGCTGTGGCAAAAGAAATGGAAAACATTTAAGTCAATTTATCTCATCTAAATATGACATGATCCAGTTAGTTGTTCTAACTGCTGCTAGGATATTTAAAACTGCCTGGTTACACATGAAAGCAGATCCTTCAGGGTCCATTTCTATCCAAGAGAACAGTAAATCTGGTTCTCAGGAGAGCTTTTCAGTGGGCTTTCACAGACGGAGGAGGAAGTCACTGCCAAAAGATTCACTTCCACTCCACTTCCCATCCCAATGATCTGCTCCCAGCACCTCCCCCATGTCAGAGACAATGAGTACATGTCAAAGGAAGAAGCTAAAAACTTTTTTCCCCCCAAGGTTATTTTTCAGCCACATCAGCAGCCTGATTCAACTGCTCATTTTGGCGGCTGTGTTGCTGCAAATCAGCCAGCATCAGCAGTGAAACTGAACCTACAGACAAATGAAATAATGTCAGCCCTTCTTTGGCACATGAATAGTCTTTCCCCACTCCACAGCCCGAGGATTTTTGAGTAAAGACATTTAGGAGGAGGGAGTGGTAACTTTTACCAAAAATTCTTCCCTGTGAGGCTGGCACAGGGTGCCCAGAGAAGCTGTGGCTGCCCCATTCCTGGCAGTGTTCAAGGCCAGGTTGGACGGAGCTTGGAGCAACCTGCTCTAGTGGAAGGTGCCCCTGCCACGGGCAGGGAGTTGGAACTGGATGAGCTTTGAGGTCCCTTCCAGCCCAAATCATGTTGTGATTCTGTGATTCTATGATCATATGCCATTTGATTCTATGCCATGTGCTGTCAGCCTAGAACCAGAACTAAGTCTGCATCTTAGTTCACAGCATAGACAAAAAGTTCATTTCCTACAATAGCCTTTATTTCACAGTTTGTTTCATGGCTTGCCAGCACCAATAGTTTTACTTGAGGCTACGTCTGATGGATGCCAAGTTACTATTTTTACCATTGAGAAAAAAAATCAAGAAGATCCCAGAAATCAAATTTTTGTCCCAGCGGCTTCAGTGGGAGAACAGCAGCTTCAGGTGAACGGAGTGATAGAAGAACAAACTCCAAGGTGAGTGCAGCCAAGCCTTTGCACTGCTCTCAAAGAGGGATGCCACGCAAACATCCCACCTCCAGCAGTGAGCCTCTTTAGTTGTCAGCTGTACTTCCAAGAAACCTAAGGAGTCTCGGGTAGTGCCACTAGCCCCAGTGCGACTGTGAAAGGCTGGAGGTTTACAGTCTGGAAGAAGAGAACAGCACATCCAAGCCCCAGTGCTGCAAGCCGTCTGGTCCCCAGCAGTCACTGGCTCCTCTTGCACAGCAACACAGTGCAGCTGCGTCTTACTCAGTGCTGGAACCCACCCAGGCCTCTTTCAGTACATTCTGAATTTTCAAAACCAGATAACAGCACCTCACATCCCTTGGGACCATGCTCAGCTCCATGCTCCACTTAGACTTACAGGTGTGTGAAGTTCTCTCTGGACATTTTCTGCTTATTCCACCCTTGTACACCATGCCTAACACTGGGTACCTGATCAAGACCTTTTGGATTTCAATTCACCACATATACGTAGTTGCAAACTTTTCTTTGCCTGTTTTTCAATCAGCAGGAGCAGTAGCAGATTTCCACTTAAGCCAGGCACTTTGGGCTATGGGCTCAACAGCTTTTCTACCAGACCCCACTGATGGTCTAGGCAACATCCCACCACTCAGCAGCAGCAGCAGTAACCTCTGCAGAAAAGGACTTGTGCAGACAGGGTCTAGAGAAGTGAAATGTAACTCCCCTGGGGTAGGAGTTTCTTTCTCACTTAATAGCACAGTGTGGGGAATTTTTATATTTTTTTGGGTCATGTAATCTAATACTGATAAGAAACAACATTAGTCTTTTCCCCCTAAGCTGTTAGCACAGTATACGGCAGTACTTCCACTTCAAGAAGTACTGAAATCCTCTTTCTCTCTCTTTCAGGGAATAAAATGCTCTTATTTTCATCAGCCTCCTCCTTTTCTTTTTTTAATCAACACTACACTGAACAACTTACAACACTGAAAGCCATGAGTGCTTTCTCAAAAATCATCCAACACACTTTCACATGATTACATTTGAACCTCTGTCTATCTGGACAGTGTCAGCCAAAGGCAATAACATTTATTCACATTTGTGACTGCTCAGGTCTTTCCCTTATCCTTCATCTTATACTTGTTTGCAGGTTGCATTTATATTTATGGTACTAAAAGGCAAACAGTACCCAGGCTGATTTACTGCTGATAGGGACTTCCTTCTTTGCCCTCCCCCTAGACCCCCCCAACAGATATCCATTATCTTTTCTTTTCCCTTTTGCCACCTCCTGTTGCAGAAAACCTACTCCTGAATTCTCTATACTAGAGAAATATGATGAAAAAAACCTATGAAAGGTTGCCCATCTTCTTTTAAAAGTTCAAGTGAATTCCTTCTTGACCTTGGCAGGCTACTAGCAGCCTTTCTGAAGCACAAAGGAAGATTACTCTTAAGTTAGCACATATACCCATAAATATGATTACTCCCAAGGCTATATGGCCCACATTCACAAAGCCCAGTACCTCCATCATCTTCTGTAGCAAAACAAAAATGGACCTTCTAGGCTATGTGCATGTCAAAAGGAGTCCTGATTTTTTTATAGGCTAAAAAGCTGAAAGAAGCAAACCTCCAAAGCAAGCAAACAAATCATATAATACCTGAAAGTAATCTGTGATGAAGGATCCAAGTTCACTCTTCAGCAGCCGTCTGTAGACAGAAGGAATGCATCCATGAAGTAACAGCCATCCCTGGTCATTTCTTACAGGTATATCCACACGTTACTACCGTTTTTACCAAAGACACATGAGTATATGAGAATGTGTTATTTTGGCCACACTTACGTTTTTTTTACGTTTAGGTATATACTCTACAAATGCCCACAAAGGCTGTTCTCAAGTTATGAAATCATGAAGGAACGAAACAGTTTCCTTGCAGGCCTATATTTATAAGCCATACACATAGAACAAGCAAAAACCCCCACATTTGCCCTCTGCATGCACAGAAAGTTGGGGAGACAATTTAAAATTACATAGTTTGAAATTCACAATTTTTTCTGCTTTTTGTTTAAACAAAGATGCCTTTTATTTCCCTAGAGTCAGCCTATCTTTCTTGGAAGCACGGAGAGGAGCAATGAAATAATCACACAACAGAAGCTGCAGCTTCCTCATGACTACCACATGTAAAAAAGTAAAAGGCAGCATATTTTTCAAGAAAGAAATTGTAGAAATTTAACAAGAGGTGTTTTAAATACATGCCAGCAGAGGTCACTCCAAATGATTATTTCTCATAAAAACTGTTGGATTTTAAATCAGGCTGTGATAAAAGCTTTAAATTCTAACACATAGTTGTATTTCAAAACCCAGAAGAGGCATCAAAAAAACCCCAAACCAACAACTTACAAAGTTCAGTGCATTTGCACTTCCAGCTTTCAGTGACCAGGAGCTTAAATTCTGTAACAGGAAATTCTGCCTAAAATTTAAAAGATGCCCAGCACTTTCCACTGCAATACACTGCATTTGGGTTTTTTCTTCAAAGAATTTTGCTTTTTAGCAACGTGAAGTATAACCAAGAGTGCTCAAAAACAGTGTTTGAAGCAGGGACCATCCAGGTCTCAGCCTGGGTTCTTACCAATAAACCACTACTTTTTCCTAATTTTTGCTGAAAGTCAATTTTGATAGCAACCTTCCCCCCTAATGACTTTGTAACACTTCTTATTCACTTATTTGCATGCCAATGGGCCTTGACTCTTTCTCTCTCAGACTGGTTGTATTCCCCGCACCCATCTCAAAGCACACTTCTATTTCTGTGAAATAGATAAACCAGAGAAATATTTGGGGTTCTGTTTGCCAGAAGGTCTTCTACTAGCTTTGGCAGAATCCATGGGCTCTCATATCAGCTGACTGACAGGCCCACTGCAGAACTTAACCTTACACAGGCAGACCAACAACCAGAGGCTTGCACCTTAGACAGAACCCAAGGGAAGGGTGTCTTCCTAATCATGGCCAGGTCACCTCCTGCTTTCCAAAATCCCATCTCCTGATGGCACTTTTTAACAGTTCCTCTTGCTGCAACAACTGACTTTCAGGGCAGTAATAAAGCATCCAGTGAGATGGTATTAAATCACAGCAAGATAAAAACTTAGTGGCAGCAACCCAGAGCAAAATGTTACCTTGTGCTTGTCTCCTTGTCCTGCAATTAATGTCCTACTTTAAAACTCTCCTGCATTTCCCACTGTCAAATAACTAGGAGCTGTGCAGAATCTGCAAGACTCTTGAAGCACCTAGCATTTGCTAACTTCCCCCGAGAGATGAATGGAGAACTGCAAACAAGCTCAACCTCAACACCCAGACTTACCAGGTGCAGGGGTGCATACACACATACATGCAGTTGCACGTTGTTTGCTCTTTAGATGAACATTATTGAGCTCCTTGAATGTTCAAGTGCCCTATTTAAAGAATGACATTTGGAGATGTAACCAATGCTCAGAGCACCTGCAGAAACATCCATCATGTATTTCAAGGTGAGTGTTCCCAAGGGCTGCCTGGGAATGTCTGTCCATGGAAAAGGGCATTTCCCCTTCCACCAGCAGCACTGTTTACAAAGTGCACACAGTTCACAAAGCATCTCCTGTTCTTCACACAGCTCCCAACACTTAGGTAACAAACATAAAGAAAGCATGGTCCAGCCTCAGGTGCCAAGCCCAGGCAACATGTCTCTTCTGCCTGGCATAATATTCCCTTCAAGGGTGGGAAGGAATCATAGAATCACAGAACAGTTTGGGTTGGAAGGAACTTAAAGCTCATCTAGTTCCACCCCCTGCCACAGGCAGGGACACCTTCCACTAGAGCAGGTTGCTCCAAGCCCCTGTGTCCAACCTGGCCTTGAACACTGTCAGGGATGGGGCAGCCACAGCTTCCCCGAACAACCTGTGCCAGGGCCTCAGCACCCTCACAGGAGACAACTTCTGCCTAATATCTCATCTCAATCTCTCCTCTGTCAGTTTAAAGCCATTCCCTCTTGTCCTGTCACTACAGGCCCTTGCCAAAAGCCCCTCTCCAGATTGCTTGTCAGCCCATTTAGGCACTGGAAGCTGCTCTAAGGTCTCCCCGGAGCCTTCTTTTCTTCCAGGCTGAACAAGCCCAGCTCTCTCAGCCTGTCTCCAGAGCAGAGCTGCTCCAGCCCTTGGAGCATCTTCATAGACAATTAAGACTGCTCCAAGTACTTAAAACTAACTTGAGGACTGAGCACACTAAAATAGTATTAAATCATGAGACAAGCATTGCCCTCACTCAGCTCTCAGAAGGAATTATATTCAACTTTCACCTTTGGGACCAGACCAAGTAGAAGAGTCTCATGCTCTGCAAGCTGCATTGATTTTGAAAGTAGGGAAGAGGGTAGTTTAGACTGCTGCTGAGTATGTGCTTAGCCCAAATTGCTACTTGAATCTTGGCACTCAGGAAAACTGCCATAGGAATTGGGGGTGGAAAGGGGCAGAAAGAAAAGGAGAAGTGGAGACCTGTATGACAGAACTCATGATGAATGAATATGGACATAGTGGGAAAGAGAGAGGGAGGAGAAACTACATACACCAGCTCTGACAGTACTTCTCTTATCACCACTTGGAACCAAGAGTAAATTGTTCTTTATCTACTTTACAGACCTATCTATGCTAACCAAACTTTCCAGATAATCAGAATGAAACCACAGATAAAAATGAAGCGTGCTAAAAAAAAAAAAAACCCACCAAACTTTTAATCATCACTATCATAAGTGTTGGAAAATGTTTGTTAGACTTTAACTTTTTTTTATCTTGAGGCTTTGTATTTTCAGGTCGCGGTCTGCAGTTATGATGTGGAGATCAAGCTTCTATATGAAATGCTGTATTGTGCTTTCATTTTAAAGACTCCACAGTTCTGAGAAGCTCAGGTTTAGAGAAGACATGCTATTACCACCATGAATCTCCTGATAAAAATGTGTAAAAAGAGCCAGAAAAGCCAAACTCCATTGAAAAGGACAAAATCCTTGTAGTCCAAGTCAATACACATCCCGTCCTTCGCAAAACTATGTATCCGCACAAGCCAGAGAAACATTATCCAAGTGCCCTACGCCATTCACTCCACCCCATAGCAAAAAAGAATTAAGTTAAGACTGAAACCCCAAAACTGTGCTTAAGTTTGCTTCAATCCCTGCTCCTCCCACCAATATCCTCCAACTGTTGTTCTGTAGGGGAATAAACCCAAGCAAGCACCAAACAAGCAGCAACAAAAATCCCTTTTCATGCATTTCAGCAACCCACCTGATATTTTCATTGAGGGTGTAAAGTTCATTATTCTGCAAGCCTCCCCCTTTGAACACATTTATCACTGCTGTTTGAACACTGCCAAAAAAGAAATGAGACAGTACGACATCCATAAATAACCATAAGTCACCAGTGTGATTTAACACAAGAGTGCAATGTGAGCTAACCACCAAAAGCTGAGTGCTTTGTAATGGGTAGAGGTTAATTGCACTCAAATACTTCTACTCTTTGTGCCCTGGAAATCATCTCTCTTATTTACCTGTTTCACACAGGAGATGGAGCAGAACCAGCATCAACCTGTGCCCAGAGCAAGCAAGGGACAGTCATTACAGGGACACTGGTCACAAAGAACATGTTCATACTAGATAAATCCTTAACATGACTGTTTAGGGGATCTAAGGGACTTTTCACAAGGGCCTGTAGTGACAGAACAAGGACGAATGGCTTTAAAGTGACAGAGGGGAGATTTAGATTAGACATGAGGAAAAAATTCTTCCCCGTGAGGAACGGTGAGGCGCCTGTGAGAGTGGTGAGGCACTAGCATAAGTTGCCCAGAGAAGCTGTGGCTGCCCCATCATGCCTGGAAGTGTTCAAGGCAGGGGGCTAGAACTAAATGAGCTTTAAGGTCCCTTCCAACCCTCACAGTGACAAATTTTTTCCTAATTTCTAATCAAAATCTCAGGCTCTTGTCAAAAGCCCCTCTCCAGCTTTCTCTTCGGCCCCTTTAGGCACTGGAAATGGCTTTAAGTTCTCCTTGGAGTCTTCTCTTCTCCAGGCTGAACAAGCCCAGCGCTCCCAGCCTCTTGTGCAACACTAGCAAGCTGAGCTACCTCAGCAAGACAGGGGTCTGCAGAGCACAGAGCTGGTGTCAGAAGGGAAGTTGGGAAAACCCACTTTGGTAGCAGCAGACCATTAGACCAGATTGAGACATCTCACTCCTCAACACTACACATTGTTTTTCCCATTGCCACTGCTGCATGACACACTCCAGACAGGATTTGGCTGTCAATACCAAGTGCTGGTAGAAGCCACAAGCTTAGCAGTTGTCAGAGGAACTTGATTGTGGTAAAAGCTTCATAATATGCAGATAAATACCTACTGTGCATTAACTGCTAGGATGTCTTTTCCTAAATGGTACCTACAAGACACAACCGTTAACAAAGAGCAATTCTGTTTTACTTCAAGACCGTACCTCTGAACAACTCTGGCTAAAAAGAAGGCTGAACACTATTAGGTCTATTTTTTTCACCTCCACAGAGGCTTTCAATGCCAGCAAAGCTTGCACCCCAGAAATTCATATGTGCTTAGAAACAGGCAAGCTTAGCCATAAACAGTCTGAAGCACGAAGGTAAGAAAGACATGCATGGCTCTTATCATGGGGCTGCTCACCTGTTCCAGGCAGAGTTGGAGCTGAGCTGCAGGGCCTGCCGGGCTGCCTGGAACCGTGGCAGATCACTGAGGACTGGGGAGCTCATGAAGCGAGGTCGAGGCCTTCTGAATGAACCCATCTTGTGTAACTGGAGAGCAAAGGATGGAGCCACGGTGAACCCTCCAGTCATAAGGTCAGGTGGAGCGAAGCAGGGCCGTCAAAAAGTCTCCTCTCTTGAAGATCCAAATGTTAATCCCAGAGATTTCAATGAATCTTCAAAATCCAGGACTCTACCTGCAGCAAAAACAAAGAGTCAGCCTTGGACTTGCAGCCCCCCATGGAGTCAGGCTGTGACATGGACACGCATCGCAAGATGCAGAGCAAAGAGAAAGGAAAAGAGCAAGACAGAGGCAGGAGGGGTGAAATATCCCAACCCCTTAACAGCAAATTTGGGCAGACTTTCTGTAATTCTTCAACAGCAGCCCTGTTTCCCATCTTGCCCCTTAAATAATGACTCAACACAGCCAGCCAGAAATACGAGCATGGTCTCTATTTCCATTTCAACTGGCAGAGATGTAAGAACAGAGGTGCCTGAACACTTCTACCAGAGGCACTTTACAAATACCTTTAAATAAAGTTAGCCATTCAGCCTGTATAAAACAGTAGAAACTGGAGAAAAAGTATTTCACCAGAAAGAAACAAACGAAGAACAATGGAAGAAAAGATGACCATCGCCTGCTTTTTCTGAGAAGTGTTGTGCAAGGGCATACACCCACTCATTATCAGTCCATTACTGAAAGGATACAATAGGGCACTTCTGCAAAAGAGATCTGACAAGCAGATTATTTTGAAAGTAAGCAGGACTTTGTTTTCTACAGAATGAGAAGTAATTGCTGGACCCAACATGAAATGCCCATATTTTCTACTCTCATCATCATCTCCATATAGATGAATAAGTAGCCCCAAGTAAACCACAGAAATAGAAGCTAGCTTAGATAAAACCACAAAAAAACTTTAGCAAAGCTCTTTCGAAATCTTCCCACTACAGATGAATACAGTCGATGTAGTTGGATTTGGAGAATGGAGACATGGGAGAAAGGAGAAAGGGGGAGAAGTTCTGTAACTGAACTGCACACAAGAGATGTAAGATCTCTTTTCCCCCACACCTTCAGCATGACATGAAAACAGATGATCAGACAAAGAAATGTTGTCGATCTGCACAGCGCTTCTGACTACTGCTCAGATTCCACTCCCCAAATCACATGTAAGAGAACAGTTTTCTTCCCAACCAGCCAGCCCCATTTCATGATGAGCTCACTCTGCTCCCCCGCTTCTGCACAACCTCATTGATTCTGACAAACCCCCATGAAGCTCTCACAAGCTCTTACTATGCCACAGACATCATGCGCTCCACAGCCGAGGAAATTAAAGTGGAAAACACAGAAAACACCTCACGTTTCAAGGCCCCGAAACATGCAGTACTGTTATTCTTGGTGCTATTCAAGAAATAAATATGGAGGTTATACCCCCACATGTTAAATACAATTTGCACAGGTATTTGTGGAACTGGACCATGGCTACAAGTGCAACTTTCTTCTGTCTTTAGACAACTCCTGGCTGTCTTTAGAGACGATAAAGCCCAGACAGTCCTCGTGACATGAGCTTAGCCTTGGCTGTTGTTGTTTGAAAGGGCAGCAGTCTGTTGATTTTGTGGCTGTTCTGATCCAATTTAAAAAAATAAAAAATAAAAAAATAGTGATAAATTTAGAGAAGAAGAATAAATGTAAACTAATACAACCAGATCAGCAGAGTCCTCTGGGTGCATTTTGAAGTAACAGTTCATTTGACATGGCCCATATATTTTCGATCTGCCATCAATTTCTCTATTGGCAATTTTAACTATATCAGAAATCACCAGAGGATAAGAGCCACAGCACCGTGGAGAGTCAAGGGCAGGCTTTTCTTACAACATACCAAGAGGTGTCTGGGAGGCAAAGTGTACATATAACAGATGCTTCTGTTGCAAAACCAGCGCTTGTGCCAATGTTTGTAATCTCAGAGTTCCAAAGGTGACAGAGTAAGGAGCTGAATAAGTGACAGGTCACTTCTAGCAGGGCAGTAAAATCTCTAGCTTAACAATTTTTATACCAGGAAAACAGCATATATTTTTCATAGTTATAAATGATATACAATTGTTACTTTAAAGAATCATAGAATCACAGACTGGTTTGGGTTAGAAGGGCTCATCTAAAGCTCATCTAGTTCCAAACCCCTGCCATAAGCAGGGACATCTTCCACTAGACCAGGTTGCTCCAAGCCCCTGTGTCCAACCTGGCCTTGAGCACTGCCAGGGACGGGGCAGCCACAGCTTCTCTGGGCAACCTGTGCCAGGGCCTCACCACCCTCCCAGGGAAGAACTTCTGCCTAATATTCTTCACTAATATTCACTGACATTGCCCTCCTAGAGGCCTTCAGTCCAAAGTCCCTCACATCTACAGTCTCCTCTTCCTAAGATTAAAGTCTTTTAGAACACCAGCAAATAAAACCTACTGCTAATAATCACAGTCCTATTATTTACCAACCATAGAACTAGAAAAAGCTTTACAGAGAAGCAATTATTATTTTTCCCCTTTTATACCGAGTGAAGGGAGGCACCAGCATGCAGCATGCTTTAGCCACCAAGCAACATTCTTACCATTGATTACAAAAAGCACGAAGACCTGGAAACTGAAGTGCATCAACTGCATAAGAGATAGAACCTCACCAAGGTAGTCTCTCACTGCCATATTCTCCAGCTGCCAGGACAATGCTTTATGGGGATTTCAACCCCCTTGATAGCTGATATATCCTAAAACACTCTCTGTTTTTCTCATTTTGCTTAATGACCCTACTTTTAGGGGGCAAGACGCTTATCATAAGTAAGTCGAAGAGATAGGGAATGTTCTTTCCCTTTCAGCTGTCCTATCCCTGGTCTTTGTTTTCTTTTATCCTTGATTATCATCTCAAAACCCAGCTCTGCAAAACCCTCTAATCTCTAACAAGGGAGATATGTAATCTGTGCAAAAACCAGGTCTTCGAATGACGAAGCTTTTCAGAACTGGAAGTCAATGTTCTCAACTGGGGGATGATGAGTCAATACGACAACAACGTTATTTCATCCACTTGTAATTCATCACATCTGAGTAAACACTTGAGGATTAATCTGAATCTTTAAAGAGAAGAATAAAGCATGGAGACAAATCCTTTTCCAACACACACAGATAGAGGCATTTATAAAAACATTACAGTCATCAAGCTAGATTTTTTTTATCCTTTGTTTCCTCTTAACCATGAAAACAAACAGAGAAATCATTATAAAATGATTTGATGAAAAGACCTTTCCCTCCCAATACACCATAAGACATACGACTGTCTGGAGGAAAAGCAAGACCAGGCAATATACCTCGATCAACTGATCTCCACTGAAGAAAGAATAACCCAAAGAAAAAGTTGGGAGCAATTCCTCCAAGTTATGAACCCTAATGATAATCTCGGGCCAAACAAACAAAAAGCCCATGGTAACTGAGATTTAACAAAAAAACCAGACCATTTTCAATTCCTCTGATCCCTTCTCTGCGAGACTCAGAACAACAGCTGCATATGGAATGGACAGGGCAGCAAAAAATGCAAACGGCTTTGCCTCTTAGAGGAAAACTTGTACCAACACTACTTCATACCAAACTCAGACCAAAAAGCCACCAGTCAAAAAGTAACTTCAAAGCAGATGGGAGGGAAAGTAACTTTAAAGCAAGGGAGGGAAAGGAAGAGTCGAGAAATCACAGGATCCCCAGAGAAGCTGGTGATGCCCCATCCCTGGCAGTGTTCAAGGCCGGGCTGGACAGGGCTTGGGGCAACCTGGTCTAGTGGAAGGTGACCCTGCCTGTAGCAGGGGCTTAGAACTAGATGAGCTTTAAGGTCCTTTCCAACCCAAATCATTCTGTGATTCTATGAAACAAGCATTTCCCAGGTCTCCTGAAAAACAGCAACAGAGAACGAGGTGTTACCCAGATATAAGTGATATTTTGCCATTTAAACTTTTTTTAGTGGTAAAAAAACCACTTTCACGAAGAAAGATATACACTTGCCCATTTTCCTCTCCTTTATATGTTTTGTGCAATTGTGCATTACTCTAAAACACACAAACTGAGGACTGCAACACACACCAGAATTTTTTTTTTATGATTCTAGGTGTGGAAGAAGCATAATATTAAGAAAACTCCCTGCTGTACTAGGCCTGCAGACCCACAGTGAGTGGGTTCAGCTTACCTCAGGCACAAAAAATATGCAGAGAATCATCTAGCTTCTTGTTACCTGATTCTCCTGGAAATCCTTAAAAAAGTATGTGATCGGCAAAATCCTTCATTCAAGTTCAACTGACAAGAGCTGAAGACACTATTTCTGACCAAAATCCCCCATCTATTTGCTATGCAGCTGTACTGAAAAGTAGAAAAGCAGCCTACAACCTGTACCTTAAGTCTTTACAGTCATCACAACTGCACATACGTGAACTTAGTTTATATTCTAAGAAACCACAGAAAGCATTTGCCACCATTAAATTTACAAGACTTTCAGTTCCTCTTATAGTACCCAATTGCTCAGTTTCTTACAAATAAACAAGGTCTGCTTTTTAGAAAGACTTGATAAAACCAAGATTTAATCCATAACTAACAAAGGTCCTTTTTGGTTAATGTTGTTCATGTCCTAGATACATGTCAGAAGTTATCAAAAGCAAGAATGTCAACAATTTTGGAGGCATTCTGGGGCCTAACCTCACACTAAGGTTCTTCCTACACCCTCATCTTTTCATGCCTTCACACTTTTGGAAATCTGTCTCTGGAAAACTCTAGTGTTTAATCCACATCCAAAACAATAGGAATCCAAATACAGAAGCTGTGGCTGTCCCATCCCTGGCAGTGCTCAAAGCCAGGTTGGAGAGGGCTTGGAGCAATCTAGTCTAGTACAAGGTGTCCCTGCACATGTCAGGGAGATTGAAATTGGAAGAGCTTTAACGTCCCTTCCAACCCAGACCATTCTATGATAGTGTGCTAGGCAGAAGCATGGAGGGAGGGGAGAACATAGTTTCAGAAGCAAAAGAGTTGTATCAGTCTAAATGTAATGACATGCTTAATTTTCTAGGAATGTTAATCAGAT